CTTCCGGCACCGACGCCGTTCTTGCTGTTCCCGGAGTCGCCTTCCTTTGGAGCGCAGCTCCCGCAGGAGCGCGCAGGGAAACCCCCCCGCGGGTTAATGTAGGAAGAAAAGCCTCACACCGACGGGAGACCAGCGTAGCGGGGTCGGGTGCTGGCAGCCAGGCAAGCTCCTCAGCAGGCGGCTGGTGGAGTGCAATGTACAGGGGAAGCCTTAAGCTCGTCTGTGGTTTAGGTAAATACAGTAACTGGGGTTTGAGTTGGCAGCTTGTTTAGGCTAGACACGGCATAGAGAAATACACTTCTATTAATTTTTTCGCCCTGCAGCATAGGCCAGTCAGACCGGCTGGTGCTAGGTCTGCTGCGTGGGGGTAAAATGACTTGTTCCCACTTGAAACAGGAGGTGATACAACCTAAAACCCCGTCTCCTTCCTGCCACATACCTACGTTTAAAGGCCAGAATTGTTCTGAATTTTGTAAAAATGAGTACGGTGACTTCCTGGGTTGCTGTGTTTATCGAAAGTAGCTGGGCGGGCTGCGGTTAAAACCGGCTTGTCATTTTTAAATTGGAACAGCACCACAGGCTTTTCTCACTGCGTCTCGTTTCTGTGGCGCTGCAGTAGTCACTGGACGGCGGGATGTCCCCTTCCCTGCACTGGGGGCGAGCAGCGCCCTGCGCTGCAGACCCTACGCCGTCGAGCAGAGCACAGCCCTCGGTGGGCAGCCCTGCACGCTGTCCCATGCTCGCTTCTCCCAGAGCAGCAGCGCAAGCCAACCCACCGCGACAACACTCAGCCCCCTGCGCTCCTCCCTCGTTACGCTCCTGTAATGCCGGGTCTAAAGTGTATTTCTGGGTTTGTCCTTCGTTTTTAAAACAGAAGGTAAATGAAGAGCGAGGGGTGGGCAGCCATGGGTCTGCCCCTGCTTTCTGAAAGAGGGTCTGTACTGCTGCTTGGCTTGAAGCAGTTTTCCTTCACGGAGTTCCAACCCTCAACGGTGGAAAAAAAAAATCAGTCTAGTTTCACCTGTGCTGAACATTGCTTTCAATCTACTGTCTTACTTTCTGCTCTGAGGAGAGGAACAGGAGTGGTAGAAATAGCCGCTGAATACCTGTGTGGACAGTTCTTGCTGCTAAGAATCTAAAGCCAGAAACTCCAGTTACCATGTGCTTGACATTAAACTTCCAAGACTAAAAATAGTCCCCAAGTTTTGTGGTCTATTGCTTGCCTTTGTAGTTCGGACTGTTGCTTTCTACTGTTATTAAGGGTTCAAGGTAAATTGCAAA